AATGCAGTGTTAGCTAATGGCTTGAGTTAGCTCTTGTATTAAGTTAGTTTAGAAAAATCATCTGCTGAAAATATAGATATTAATACTGGGTTGCAGACATACAGGCAACTTGTTCTTGAGCATTTTCGGACCTACTTTGACCATTCCAATATGGCTTACGTATGGCGGCCTATAGAAACAGCCACTAATAGGGCAACTATCTATACATATCTATGCTGATAGGATTAAGGATGTTATAGGATTTCTATAATACATTCTATAATGTATAATTCTGAACTTGCTCATATATTGTGCTTTTTAGAATTAGTGCCAAAAATGGGACCTATTTCTTTTCTAACAAAATTTCAAGGCCTGGGGCCCGTTCTTCGTACATAGCTTATTACATCCGAGATGAAATGTCACATCCAAGATGATATCATCGCGCTAATCAGGATCTGGCTAATTCGGTTCTTAAAGTTTCTTAAGGGTCAAGATCATGTTATCTGCATCTCCTGCGCTCCATCAAGCCACTCCCATAATAGATGTCACCACTCAAATTAATGCACGACTATACATTATCTGTATAGCATGTGTGTGAGACTCTAATACAATTATGAAGTAATTAGTCTATTACGAATAAATCTTTCAGTGAGTAAAATGGGCTGTGTCTACAGTATTAAAGACTACACAACATTATAGGTGACAATGGCACATAATCAAACTAAACGAGGACAGGAACTTGACCAAATAAGGCAAGACAGGAACTGAAACACGACAAAACAGGTCCAATCCTGACATTTCGCCCCCTCCCGGAAGGTGCGTCCTCGCACCGTAGGCAACAACAGAGGGAGGCATAGGTGGGAGCTAGGGAGGAGGCTCAGCAGGAGGACGGACACCCGAGAGGGGGCCGGCAGACAAAGACCAGGGAGGCGACGAAGGAGGGAGGAGCCAGGGAGGAGACAGGAGGGGCCCAGAGCAAGAGGAGCCAAGCAGGACTCAAGCCACAGCCATGATGGCGACCCACGGTGGAGCCGACAGAGGGAGAAGCCATGGAGGAGGAATGGCCGCCGACTCCAGGGGGCCGACCAACGGCGGCAGAGCA